TGAAGCGGACTGGTCAGAACAGAGGAAGCAGTTTTTATTAAGGTACTGGTACAGCTGGTTGAACACAAGTTTTTCAAAGGGCCTGGAGACGACAGGTAGTACTGAGATTGGCCGGTAATTCGATTTCCCTGTCTGATCACCCTCTTTATAAATAAGGGTAACCCAAGTAATTTTCCAGGGGTTTGGGGAAAAACTTGAATAGATGATATACAAGGGAATTTCAATAAAGGGCAGGGCCAGCTTGAGGAAGTAGCTGGATATTCCATCTTTTTCAAAGCTCTTAGAGGATATGAGCCTTCCAACTGCGTCCTCAGCACTTTCTATCTAGCTAGAAAAAAACGAAGGGGACAAGTTAAGGGTCTTGAAACCACTGTTTTTTGGAAACGTTTAGTATCATCAATGGCCTTTCAAATCATTCATTTGCATTTCAAAGATTAACTAAACAATCTTGCGAAGCTGTCCCTGCAGGTGATTGGATGCTTGCAAAAACTGGTCTGGGCATTTGCTTGCACCCTTGTGTAATTTTGTGAGCAATCTCCAAAATCAAAACCAGTCTCAGTGCAGACTAAGATGAGATTATGGCAAATCCAGCGCAACAGTATCAAGCAGGGATAGCATCGCGATGGATTTTATTGAGGAGGATCATTCAATGATGATGCAGGCAGTTACCTGTTAACGCTAAGAGGAGGACCACCTTTGAAAAGGAAAGGCATGCTTGAATGTCAAGAAACAGCCATTGAAAATGAGTATAAACAATACTTTGAGGCGAATAAAGATGTTGATAGATGGTTTTGGCAAGATAACCACAACGGGCAGAAGAATGTGTGCAATATTTCCCAATTTAAAGCCTATTGGACAATTCAGAGTCAACAATTTAACAGGCTTCTAAATAATAAACAACAAATATATCCCCTTTAATCGAAAAAGGCATATTTATTACTAACCTACAGACAAAGGCCGCCATCCTCAATAAATATTTTGTGCAGCAATGTTTGACGTTATCAACTGGAACTACAGTTCCTAATTTTATTCCGCATTTGTACAAGAGATTGAGAGGTATTGTCATTGTTAGAAAAAAGGTTTTCCAGCATATCAGATCCTTAGATAGCAAAAAAGCTCGTGGCTGGTAGGGATTTCGGTACAACAGATTTGATGCAGCAATTGTTAAGCAATTATTTCTTATATTTGAGCAGTGTCTGCAGATGGAAAATTTTCCTCTTTATGGAAGAAGGTTTATATCGTTCCCGTTCACAAAATGGAGAGTAGACAAATCGAAAAGAACTATCGACCAATTTCATCTTTAACCGATTTTTGGGAAAATATTTGAAAAGATCATATTTGATGCTATTTACAAGCATTTTTGTGAAAACAGGCTCTTATCGCCCAGTTAATCTGGCTTTCGACGCGGAGACTCTACGATTAACAGGCTTTTTGCCATAACTCATAGAATAGTTTCTTCCTTTGATAATGTCCCTCGTTTGGAAACATGTGGTGTCTTAGATCTTTCGAAAGCTTTTGACAGGGTGTGGCATGATGGAATGTCTAGAAATCTTTTTATGTTAATGGAAGCTTTCTAAATGATCATGCACAGAGATTTCTGTTGAATGGTAAAAGCTCTGACTGGGAAACAATCACCTCGGGAGTCCCACAAAGACCAATGCTTTGTCCACTTTTATTTCTAATGTATATTAATGGCCTTGTTAGTAACCTAAAATGTGATTCACAGTTAAATTCGTCATCCTATGCCAAACAAACTACCAATCCCACTAAATCTTTCAACAAAACAGTCATCAATATCACTAAAGAAGAAATCAGTCTTGGAAACCTTCCTGAAAACACTACTAAATTATATTTTCAACATCCCCGTACATCTGTTTTCTATATGCTCCCAAAGATACACAAACCTGACAACCCTTGCCGACCTATTGTATCAGTCGTCTCCTGTCCTACATCACAAATTGCAACCTAACTTGATAGCATATTTACACCCATCAACCAACAACTGCCTACGTTTGTCAAAGATACATCGCATGCCTTGCTTATTTTCAAGGATTTCAAATTTAAAGGCCCCAACAGATATTTATTTACAATAGACGTTGAATCCCTTTATACATGCATTCCTCATGCTGATGGTTTAGAAGCACTAAAGTTTTTTCTCGATCAACGCCCTAAACAAACCCCACCTACCAACACTCTTCTTCGTCTAGCCGAGCTTGTGTTAACTACAAATGCATTTTCTTTTAATGGTGATTTTTACCTTCAAACAACTGGTGTTGCTATGGGAAGTAAACTTGGCCCTAGCTATGCATGCCTTTTTGTTGGATATCAGGGACACTTGATCTACTGTACATATGATGGTCCTTTCCCTTGCCTAATCAAGAGATACATTGATGATATTGTCGGAGCTACATCATTACCACTTGCATCTCTACGTAGATTATGGCGATGTCATTTATCACAAAGATGACCCAAACAGGACTCTAGAGATGACCCAAACAGGACTTTAGAGATGACCCAAACAGGACTTTAGAGATGGCCCAAACAGGATTAATATTTTAGAAAAATCACAATATACTGCAGCCCTTGCCTTAACGGGGGGGGGGGGGGGAGATGCAGTTATCAACGCGTGACCATGACTCCTTCACGATTCGGTGGAAGATATAAGAAATTCATGACGAACGAGAGCCGCACACTGTGACGTCAGAATGTCACAAAACTGATTCGGCTTTTGTCGTTTTTTTTCTCGGAAAGGTGCAACTTTAAAGCCTTATAACTTCTAAACTAATTGAAACTTTGCAAAAACGACAGCTTTGCCATAATACACGCACCAGATGCTAACTTTTTAGTCAATAAAAAAATTTTTGTTTTTGGCTGGAGAGGCCCTTTAAATAAGTAGCTGAAAATCATGCACAGAAATTTGGCATAACAGACGCTTATAATATCAGATGACTGAAAGCTAATCTTCGTTTTTTGTTAGTAATGCAGAACAAAAATTATACAGTATGTATGTATATCACAAGAAAACAGCATTCCGTAGAAATATTGTAACATGAATTTAATGTTCATATCAAAATCAAGCAATGGAGATTTCAAGCTAAAAATTTCCTGGCAAACATCAACAATTTCCTGCAATGAATTTGTGCCAAAAATTTCCTGCCGGACATTTTCTAGCCCTGGTGGAGAGGAACACAGATGCAGGCATTATTTTGAATTAGGATGGGAAGAGCTGTATGATAGGAGATGGTTCATACGGATGTGCCACTTTTTCAATGTAAGGAAAAATCGCCAGTCTCAGGAGGCTGAGTGAAAACGACCCGATATTAAGTAGAACAACTAGTTTCTCAAATACATATTTTGGAAATGTTCTCAACGAATGGAACAAGCTGACGCAGGATGTCCGAATGTCAGAATCAATTTGCAAGTTCAAAAACAAGCTTCTTTAAATAACAAGACCACAGAAAAGATCAGTTTTGAAATCCGTGATGCTCTAAGATTCTTAACAAAACTTCGTGTTTTGTTCAGTCCGCTCAATGCAGATAAATTTCGCCATAACTTTGATTCTATCAGCCCAATTGGTGTCTGTAATATAGGTATTAAGGATAATGAATACTTTTTCCTGCATTACCCTTTCTTTAGAGAATTGCGAATCGACCTCTTAGATAAGCTCGCTGAGATTCCTGGATTAGCACTAAATAACATGACATCAGAAGAATTATGTGAACTAATTTCTGATTTCAATCAATTTGCCAAAAATTGATTTTAGAGAAGACGATTAATTTTATTATGTCAACGAAAAGACTGCCCTAAACTTGCCAGTACAGTTTGCGGCGTCATTGTGTTGTTCCGTGTTTGTGAGAAGGCATTACGATATTTTATAGTAGAGAAGCTCTGTATTGCAGAGCTTCTTATATTGTTCTCGGCCATTCTCGGCCTCGTCACTACATGCCCTCTCATCTACAGACCAGGCCTAAAACTTCCGTGTTAAAAATATCGAGCTTAAGGGTATATGTATGTACTTGCACTGTTAAGGACATATATTGCTCTTGCAATACAGAACTATATATTTTGGTCTCTCCGCCAACTTTTTAGCTGGTTAATGATAGGGAATGGACCTTTCTCGCAAAATTCACGGACCTTTCAGACAAAGAAAATATGAACTTATTTTGATTTTAATCTAATGGTTCTTGTAACTCGTTTTAAAAAAAAATATCATATGCAACACCAGGTGACAAGAATTTTATTGTATTTTGCTGCTAAGCTAGAATGTGATGAAAGGAGGGTCTATAGAATATAATGGGTGGAAGAAAGAATCTGTGAGTATATGTTCAAGGGTTGAACAGGGGCGCAATCATATCACTGCACCCTTTTCCCAATGACATTTGTTATATTTGACTGTCAATACCTGTTGGGTATGGTTGATAAAAGAAGTACTATGAATCCACCGGGATAATCCATATATCAAAAAATCCATTTGTTATTTCCGTATTTGTTTGTAATAAGAAAAGAGTATAATTAAACCGTCTAAAATTGCATAAATTTCGTAGTTTTAAAAGTTACGTCTTTAAAATTTCGAAGGTGTCTCAATACCTTTTGCACGTATGTGTACTTTTGTTGGTTAGAGGAGATAGAAAACACAACTTACACTACAGTGCCACACCCTTTTTATCAAAATTTTCCGAAAACGCCCAAGAAATGAACGGGCTATAACGTTTGACCAACACAAAATATATAGTTGAAATTTTCAATTTTTCTATTTTTCCATGAAAGCTTTCTATTAAAAAGAATGGTTACATTATGACGATACAATGATTAAAACTTTTAGCCAATTTTTAGCAGGATGATTTGACATAGAATGACCTATTAGGTTTAGTAAAATGTATTAATATGATAATTGAATGAAGAAACGAAAACATGCTTTCTTTTGCATTACTTCTGAAGCAAGATATTGATTTACACGTTGCTTTGACAATTACTATTTATTGAAATTTCCTTCAAATCAGATGAGACGCAAGGCGTTAACAATGGAGAAATGCAGTTTCGAACATTGATGAATCTTTTGGATACTCAAGATGAAAAGTCAATACTGAGTGCCTTAAACAAGCTTGGAAATCTTACAGCTTTTAAAGAGTTCCAAGTAAGTTTTATCCAATTCTTTTATTATTCTTCAAAATTCATTTTAAGAAAATGTCTTTAGGGCCAACTTTCTGAATTAGACATTAGAATCTATAGCCTGTTTAAGTAACGCGACAATCCTCGATTCAAAAACATGTTGTCAAATCATTCCAGGGTCCTTTGATTTCCTTCACGTCAACTATTTCCTTCAACATATTTAAGTCCTTCATATGAATCTCTGGTGATTTTGCTGTAGCACGAGGTTAAAAGCCAAAATATGATTTTCTTTGTGGTTGGGAACAAGTGTGCTTTACTGTTTTCAGTTGAATCCTTCTATGTATTCAGTGGATCCTTCTACATATTAGCGACATCTTCCTTCGTGGATACTTCATTGAATTCGTACTCAGCTACATTGAAAAACAAACATTGACGCTCCAAAGTACAAAACGTCAGAATAACTCGATAATTATGAGCAGAAACAATACTCTTTAATGAAATAAAATTCAAACACTAGGGATTGAGACTTCTTTGCTGAAATGCTTTGATATTGATTAAAGTTGCCTATAAATGCATATAAGACTGTCAATATTTATAAAATTTTGGAGTCGATATCTGCGTCTAACAATTTTGTTTGCAGGGCAAATGAGAAGAATGTTTTGATTGTTTTATACCTCACATATATTGCAGTATTTGCAAATTCAATTTTGTATTTTAAATCTTGGCCTTAGGTAACATTTTATAATGGTATTGTCATATGTTCATAATTATGAAATGTTTATTTGTTCAATCATCACAATTTCACTGTTTTTGTTTCACGCAGAGATACGACGCTTGTCAAAATATTTGAAACATCAAGTAGCTTGTATCTTTTATCCTCTTTCCCTTTATCTGTGTTAGGGTTTAGGCACAAAAGGCACAAATAAAAAATGTCAAACAAACAATGTATTTACTAATTCCTCGTGTCGTTTTGTAGCTGAATCTGCCCTTGAAAAATTGCGTGAGTTTTCCAAGATCTTTGGCAGAATTTTACCATCTAAATTTCTTTTTAGTTGCAAGGAAAATGAGATTCAAACGTTGCGTTGAAATACGTTTGCAACCATCTTTTTGATCTATTGCATGCCAACTAATATTGCATACCAAATAAACGTGTAAGTTCCATAACCGTCACTTCATATTTAAGTAACTTTCTTCATAAATGAAACATTTTTCTTCTCCAAATAGCTGGCAACTAGAATGAAGGTTTGTTATGTATGATGTCCTAATGCTTGTTTCCAAACCAATTTGTATTCAAATTCTAGAGAATGCTCTTTTCATATCGAATTGTAGGTTCTGGTAAGGGAGTATGGTGGCCTGGTAAAGATTCCTTTGTTGACAAAATCCAGATCGCAAGAAATAAAAGCTCAGGCATTAAATGTTATCAACAATTTGGCCATGGATATGGAAAATCAATCTATCTTAAAGGTGATGTATGTTTTTGGCGTTTTACTTTGAGTCAACATTTGTTAAATAAGTGCACTGCTGAGATGGTGCACGATTTTTAGCAGTAAAGTGTAGGAGGTATTGGAACAGATGACGAAAGATGTTCTTTATTTAGCCACATAATTTCATTGTAGGAAAAATTACCATAGATGATTTTTCAGGTTTCTTTCCTGTTAAATAGATAAATGCTTTAAATAACATAAATTTTCCTACTGAATACGATTTCTTATCTTTTTGCTTTAAAATTTCTCTTTTATTATATTTTATATTATTTGTTTCGTTATATCGTATTTTTTCTTTCTTTTGATATTATCAATTGTATATCCATTTTATTTGATTTATTCTACGTACTTGAAAATCAAGCTTTAATTTTTTTAATTTTCTATTTGAAACATATCTCATGGTTTCAATGGAAATAATGAATTTCTACGAAAGTTCTACTTGCATCTTTACTGAACTGTAGAACAAACGTCTTTGAGGATCTTTCAAACAGAGTTATGCATAAAACCGCGTCCTCAGACTTGTGAATATTCGACAGCAAGGCTGTCGTCGACATTTTCATTTGGTTCATTTGCCCTTTCTGGAATGCCAACATAATTCCGCTCTATGCTGACAATGGCTTCTTGGCCTACAACTATTTGCAGCATGTCATGACCATTTCTGTCTTCGGTTACATTGCTTCGCCAACCTGCCAGTATTTCTGTAGCAGAATCAAAATTAAAACATATGATTTGAAAGTAAATAGAAATAGGCTCGAACTTTGAATGCTTAAGTATTTGGCAATTCTTAAGGGTGATGTAAAGAAAAGTTGCAATTATGGGCAAGGCTTGTCCTGAAATTTTCTCGCCATTGTCATTTTTATAAGCTTCTTACATTGCGCCTGGCATTTAGTCACTCTGATGAAGCCTTGTTTACTGGGCGAATTATTGGTTAATTTCGTCATATTTACTTATTTATGTAGGTATTTTTTACATTACAAAGTTTCCTCTCCTTGTATTGGTTTTTTCTTCATCGCTTTGCATTGAAGAATGGCCTAGTTAAATGTCGAATGTTGGTTTACTTGCCTTGAATTCTCTGACCGATGCTCAATATGGTTCCCATTGGTTCTGTTCCATCAATTGTTCTATCTTAATGTTTTTTTAAGAAAATTCTAGCAGCCTATGAACCCCAATTATCCGTCAAACAAGACAGTGTACCTCCGCCCTTTGAATCACGATACGCCTCCGACACGCCACGGCACTGAGCAAGGGATTCCCCTGCGCAGCTCATTGATTATCAAGTTTTTCTCATTTAAAAGTTGCAAAACACTTGATTAAAATGCCCGATTCCACGAAAGTTTATACACATGGCTGCGATTTCAGACTTCTTACCTGACTTGACATACGATCCCTTCTTTTTCTAAACTAGAAAATCTGTCAAACTTAAGGCTAAAGTTAGTCACTTACCATTGTAATCACTTCTTTGTCTACCGTGCTCCTCCTGTTGAGATCATTTTAATCGAGACCCTTTTTGTTGTTAGGATTGAGCCATACCATTGTGCCAGAGTCCAGAAAAACTTTGCATCCTAATTCTGTTCATGAACCAAGTTTTTGAAATAAGTAAACCTCCCTAAATAAGTAAGCAAGGTATAGCATTTTGCATTGTGCAACTTGAATCCTTTGCATTTTGAGAACTTTTGAGAACGACTTTCTGTACGCATTCCACCTTCATGTTTGCACCTGGAATCGCTAAGCATGTTTGGCTCCAAATCGAAAAAATCAATTCAAATTGTTTGCTTCTAAGTTGCAATAATAGCAGCCAATACCTTGGATACAAGCAATTTTCATTCATGATATTGAATAAAAGCTTGCTGGTTCGCTCATTTATCAACAACCAGAGAATAATACCAGCGAATTTTGGAACAGACCACATTTCCTATTCACCGGTTTTTGTGGCCACTCCAAAGATTTTCAGAATTCTGCTGTCAATCTTTGAATGCTGCATCTTTTTGAAATTTCACTTCTTTTCCACTCTGCTCTTGCTACAGCCCTACAATCTGTTGAAAGGTAGTTTTTATCTGTCTTGACTCGCATTATTTGGTTGGTGCTTTACAATTCTCATCTGTGAAGTATCAGTTTTCTTTTTGATCTCACAGTCCCCTCTCTATCCATACGAATTTCTTTGCTTCCGAATGTTATTCTGATTCGTTATTTGTACCTTGAACTGCTACAAATTCTTGGAATGGATCTTCCTGGATTTATATGCCCATTCTTGCCCGCAAGGGTTGGTAAGGGTTGGTAAAGGGTTGGTAATCCAACCCTTGTCGTTGCTACCTAGCTACAGGTAACATCAAAGCTTGTTATTTTTTCTGTTTCTAAACTCATCATGTCGGAAACATTTGCTAAACAACGTTACTTGCAAATTCTTTTAAAACTTCAAAGTCAGGTGTTTTAGAAATATATGTTTAAAAGAATAAATAAAATCACTTTTTCATTCATGTTGTTTTTGAACTCTTTCCAATGCGGATGTTCTTTGCAAATTCTCTGTTCATTGCCCATGAAATTTCGATAAAGAGACAGTCAAAGTAACCATGTCATCGATAAATATGCAAAATGCTGTGTCCCTTTTACTGCTTTGGAATAAAATGTTTGCGAAGTGAACGATCTAGATGACCCTTAAGGCCCCGTCACCCTCTTTGTTCAAACTTTTCGTTTTCAAATCATCAGAAATCTTGTTTTTTTAACCATGGAGGAATAGACCACTTTCAAGTTGGTGGTATCAGTAGCAATTAATTTAGAAATGGTAATATCACCGTGTTATTGAATCTGCAAGCTAAAAATGCGATCTGCCGTTTAGTCAAATAAATATGGTACGTTATACGGCATTGGCTCTTTGTTTGCACTTAGGCCGTGATGAATTTAAAACGATATTATGTAAACGCATTGGACTGATACGATTTTGAAACGGACCCACGACGACGAAGCTACCTTTAAGTGAACTGAACGACAGTAGTAATAGGCTCCTTCGTTCAGTTCTGATCCTGGAGTTGTCTTCTCTCTCTTGCTGCTCTCTGTTTTGTCGCCCAATTATCTTCCGAGTCAAGTGCTCCCTTTTTGAGTCGTTTCAGTCTAGTCTTTCAGTGTTTCTAGTCTTTCAGTCTTTCAGTCTAGCAATTTTCTCTTCTTAAAACCAATAGGACTAAAAAGTGTCCTAACATTTCAGCAAGCAATTCTTTTAATCATTTGTTCAGGATAGGTTTCTTGGAGCATGATTTTTTATTCTACATTTTCTAAAGCCCTGCAAATTCATGACAAGCAGCCGTCCCTAGATAGAGCTGCTTGGTCACCCCAGCAGAACCGAAAGCTCTTATTGCTCCAGTTTCGAGCCAGCGACTTTCATCTGCCAGGATTAACCCGCAAGGCAGTGGAGGCTCGGCTATTTTGTAGGGCACCAAAGCTCTCGCCTAGACCCAAAGCCCCGTCTGCTAATCACATGTTTCACCGCTAGAAGGTTGGGGGTGACTTGAAGTGAGAAAGGCTTTGTGTTACGCTTGGGCATTTCCGTATTTTTAGTAGAGCCATCTAGAGACCCAATAAAACCCGAACTGAGCGACTCAAGACAGCTACAAAGAGGCATGCCTGTTGCGCAAGAGCCTTTAAGAGTTCAAAAGAACCATTGCTAAACGGTGCCTCTATCTCATTGTATTGTTGGTGGTGTGCTGAAAGTGAGGTTGACAGGTTGAGGAGTCGATGATGTCAGATTTTGAAGAGAAGGATGGGAGAAAATGGAAATAAACACGGCGACAAAGCAGCAATATATGCACGTTAGTTGAATTAGAGTAATGGGACTATGAGAATTAGCAAAAGAGTAACGAAGTCAAGGAACAATTATAATGAATCACATATGTAATGATCACATACACTCTTTTT